TCGAGAGGGAATAGCCCAACAAGAAGCCCTGTCCCAAATTAAGCAGACATTATCATCTTCTTCGGTGTTAATGCCGTCAATTAGTGGAAGTGAGTTGAAGCTATACATAGGTGCGACTGATGACACAACAGGCTGCCTCTTTGCCCAGGACGACGATAAAGGTCAAGAGCGAGCTATTTATTATCTTAGTAAGACTCTCAGTGATGCTGAAACTCATTATTTGTGTATTGAAAAAAATGTGTTTATCATTATATAATGCATGCACAAAATTAGAGTATTATTTGATGCCGGTTGAAACTAAAGTCATATGCAAAGTCGACCTTCTACGCTATTTATTAAACAGGTCAGTCCCCCGAGAACAATTAATTGAATGGACGTTAAAGTTGGCATCATTTGAATTAACATACTAGCCTCTTAAGGCCTTGAAAGGACAGGCCATTGCAAATTTCTTGGCCGAACATCCTGAGATGATTCAGGCCGTTCCTGTGGACTACGCAGGATTGGAACATTGGCTGGTGACTTTTGACTGGTCCAGCTCCTTGGGAGCAGCCGGAGCAGGCGTGGTGATCTCCAGTCCAGGAGGAGAAGTATGACGCTTCACCCACCAACTTCCGCAAGGTGTCATGAACAACCAAGCCGAATACATGGCGTTGCTGTTGGCGCTGCGATTCTTGGTCGCAAAGGATGTCAAGAAGGTCGTTATTTGAGGGGATTCTCAGCTGGTTATTTGACAGGCCCTGAACGAATTCAAGTGTAAAGAACCACGACTTCAGGACCTTCTTCAATAAACCCACGACCTTTTTCATCAGCTCATGAAGGTTACGTTGGAGGACATACCTTGGGAAAATTTAGAGGCAAATGACTTGGCACAATGGGCTTCCGAATTTAAAAAAAAAAAAGAAAATATGGCCAGGATAGGAATGTCTACAAGCTGACCAGGACCCAAATTGGTGAACCCCATTGCTGGAAGGTCTAACAGACCCTAGGAATGTCGCTTCAAAAGTAGTGTGCCATCAACTTCTAAAATACACTCAAATCGATGGAGTGTTGTATCGACGGAAATCCAATGGGTCTTTAGCATGTTGTCTGGGTTGCGAGGATGCTATGAAGGTCATGGCCGAGGTCCACGAAGGTGTTGGAGGTGTCCATAGCGCTGGACCATCTATGAAGTGGACGATCCTTTGATACGGCTATTTTTGGCCACGAATCTCGCAGGATTGCATAGATTATGGTCGGGGATGCCTAGTATGTCAGCGCCATGGACCACTTCGGCGAGTCCCTGTGGAAGATTTCATTCGATTATCAAACATTGGACTTTCCATGGATGGACAATGGACATCATCGGCAAGATTCATCATTCATTTATTAAGGGGTATTTCTTTATTCTTGTAACTACGGACTACTTCACGAAGTGGGCGGAAGTTGTTTCATTGGCCAAGGTACAACATAATTATGTCATATGTTTTATTAAGAATAACATCATTCACAGGTTTTCCATTCCCAAGACAATATTCACCGACCAAGGGACCATATTTATGAGCGCGAAGGTCAACGTCTTTGTAGCCCTATACGGAATCCAACTGCTACATTCCTCTCCATATTACCCTCAGGCTAACCGGAAAGCCGAGGAAATGAACAAAATCTTGATTTTCATTATTAAGAAGGCATTGGAAGACAATCCGAAAGGTTGGAATGACACTTTGGAGGAGACTTTATGGGCGTATCAGAACGCCAAATCCTATAACCGGCAGCACTCATTACAGGTTGAGTTACGGCCATGATGTTGTACTTCCATTGGAGATTACAGTGCCCTCTCTCTGAACTTTGAAGATGAACCAACTGCTGATAGGAGAGTAGGACGAAGCTCTACTCCAGGAGCTTGACGCCTTGCCCAAAGAGAGACTGTAGGCTCTTGAACGCATTCGACATCAAAAGAAAAAGGCCTAATTGAACTTCCGGAAGCACGTGAGGTCCCAGACCTTCTAAGAAGGTGACATGGTTTGGAAGGCTATCCTCCCGAAAGTCCCAAAGATGCAAAGCTGGGGAAATGGTCCCCTATATAGGAAGAACCATATATTATCGGTCAAGTCATCCAATGACGTATATAGGTTGATGGAGCCCGAATAGGAGAAGTTGAAGACGTTTATTAATGAAAAACATCTTAAAGGTTCTATCCATCTCTTTTGAAGCTACAAGAAAGGCACAATCATGTTGTGGTTGGCTACGACCTTACGGAAGGCGAAAACACTGTTGGACAGGTTGAATAAGCATAAATTGACCTTCCCGAACACTGATCTTGGATGTTGTCTACCAACGAGTAACCAGAAGGTGGACTTAGCAGGTAGAAGAAGATCTTAGAGGTGAAAATGACCTTGATGCGGGGTACGATCTGACGCGGATGAGTTGGCTATGATGAGAGGTCCAAAACATGCGCGCACCAATTGATTCAAACATAAGGGATTTTTAACAAAATTATCGGGACTACATGTTAACTTTTGTCCAAGTAATTTTGTGGGGGACATTTGTACACATCCAAATAATTAATTGGGGCTGACCCAACATAGGTGTAACCAAAAGACATTCGCGGCCCAACATACGGCCCAAAGTAGTAGACGGACCTGCTAACCCGTTTGGCCCATCGTTCAAGGAGGTCCAGCTCAACTCAAAAAACAGCCCAACGGATGTAGAAAGGTCAAACAAGTAATTAGAAAGATGGTTGAATTTTTTGAAGAAAAAATAAAGATAAGATCTTATCCAAACAAATTTTTAAAAATTAACAATAAAATCAAGATCTAAGAGGAAAACAACGACATTCATCACATTCAACCGTCTTCTTCCTAATTAATTTTCTCTGCATTATTTTTTATGTAATTTTTTCATTCAAGAGCAGTCCTTTTATTTCTTTTCTTTTTACGGCGTTTCTTTAAATTAATTCAGAGCTTCTTTCTTCGATTTTCAACTTTCGTTCTTATTATATTAGTCTTATTTTACCTTCTTTTCACGTTAATGCACGAGATAACCTGGATTTTTTCTTGAGTAGGCCGGGGAACTCTTTGAACAAATCAATTCCGAGAGGCTTTTTCCAGTTAAGCCGTCGGTGACGATTTTTTACGACAACACTACTTAAAATGCTCCCTCCGTCACAAAAACATTTTTAATAGTGAAATGAAAATATCTTCATATAAAACGATATTACATTTCATATCTTTTAAATATTTTGTTGGGTAAATTATATAACACCTCATTGTCTTATAATAAAAGTGCACAAAACACCCTGTGTTTTATTTTTTTGGCATGAAATCCCTTTGTGTTAATGTAAATTTGCACGAAACACCATTCTTGTCCATAATTGATGTTTGATTTTAAATAAAGACCTAAATTACACAAGTTTTATACAAATACAAAATGTAAATTATAGTCTTTTAGACAATTTGTCATCTAATTTTTACAAAAACTATAAAAATAAACGATTGATCAATTATTTATTTATTTATTTTATTCAAAAAAATTATTTAAGACATTTTACGTTTTTTATTTGTATAAAACTTGCATAATTTAAGTATTTATTTAGAATCAAAACATTAGTTTTGGACAAAAAGAGTGTTTTGTACAAACTTTACATTAGTATAAGGGATTTCACTTAATAAATAAAATATAGAGTATTTTATGTATTTTTATTAACACATTGTTATATAATATACCCTATTTGTTATTATTTTTATATTGTGAAGTCTTGGTTAGTTTCTTTTTTTTTTTTGTTTTAAAGTTTTTGGGTTTGAACAATAATTTTAATGTACAACTCTCTATTCATTCAAGCAAAAAACAAACGTCACGGTTCTCCAAAAAAATAACCTCACAAATATGTTCTCTTAAATAAAAATCGATAAATATACATGTATCTATATATAATAAAAGTCAACAATTAAACATACACTAATACTATCAAAAAATTTTATATTTAATAATAAAAATACTTAAATAATGGAAATAATGGGCACTAAATAAACAAATCTATGATATTTTTCATAGAAAGTATATATTTTTATATGAAATAACAATAATTGAATAATAACAAAATTGAAACGAAACTTTGATTTTTTTTCTTAAAACAAATATTTTACATATAATTTTTTTTTATATCATTTAAAATTTATTTAAATGAAAAATAATACAAAATCTAATAATATTATATTATATAAAAAATAAAAATAAAATCAAAAAAATTATTGAAATTGAGGAAATACACATATATACTTAAAATATTATCAAGTAGCACAATATTCACAGTACATGATCATGTTTATATAATACAAATAAAATATATAAATTAAACTTGTGTATATAATAACACTCTATAAAATGCATATTATAATCAATCACAACAAATAAAATACTCCCTCCGTCTCATAAGTAAATATTCATTTGCCTTTTTCAAGCTAGTTTTAAAAATATTAATATTATATTGTGATACAGTATGAATAAAGAAGAAATATTTAAAATAATGATTAAAATAAAGAAGAAATGATATAAGTAAATATGTATGATAGAAATGTAATGACATTTGTTTAATATATTGTAAGTTGTAAGAGTATTTATAATTTTAGGTAGATAGAAAATTGATACTTTGTTATGGGACAGAGTAAAATAAAAAAATATACTTTGTTATGGGATGGAGGGAGGGACTATATTAATATCCCACAAATATAATAACACTACACATATCAACAAGCTATACAAAATAAGGTGGTGTGTTTCATATTTTCATGAAATGATGATCGAAAGTAATTAGCAAGCACCCTGAGCTAATACAAAGAAAATGAAAATGAAAATGATAATATTATTAATTATGGAAGCAAGTGTGATTAGGATGCCCACCCCACCAAACAACCAAAGCAAGTCTTTGTTTCTCTCTCTCTCTCTCTCTATTACAATTACAATACTCACACGCCATCGTCGATTACTGGTAATATTTTGGTTCTGTGGCAAGTAGCCTACCCCAACCGTATTACATTTGCAGAATCTTCCACCAAACCAAAGCTGCAGCAGCCATAGCACCACCACCACCACCACCACCAATTCCGATCAAATCAAATCAAATCAGACTCCATCCCTATCCCCCTTTGAATTTCTTGTCTCGGATCCTCCATTAGCGTCGCTTTGCGTATCCACACAATCAATTCAAATCAATTATTTGCAGCAGCAGCAGTCCCTTTCAACATTAACCAAAACCCATAAAATCTTTCATAGTTTCTTGCACCATCATGTTTCTTTCCCCTATATATTCTGCCCCACCCCAATCCCATCATCCTTCAGATTCAGACACCATTCACTCACTCCAGCTGCGGCAGCAGGTACAGTTTTACTGACCTTCCTTAATTGCTTAATATGATACCAATTTTATCGTCAATTCATTCATTCATGTCTTCTTCTTCTTCTTCTTCTTCTTGTGGTGCGTGCAGTGCAGATAGATATTTGAAGGATACGTATCATCTATATATATATATCTTATCATCATCTATTGTAAAAGAGAAATGGAAAATGGCAGCAGCAAGAGCAAGAGCAAGAGCAAGAACGAGGTCCAGCTGACCGTTAAACAAGGGCAGCCCGTGCTGGTGGCGCCGGCGGCGGAGACGGCCAAAGAACACTACTTCCTATCGAACCTCGACCAGAACATCGCCGTCACAGTTCGCACCATTTACTGCTTCAAGTCCGACGAGAGAGGCAACGAAGATGCCGTCGGGGTGATCAAGGATGCCCTGTCGAAGGTTCTTGTCCCCTACTATCCCCTCGCCGGACGCCTCACCATCAGCCCTGAAATGAAGCTCATTGTCGACTGCACCGGAGAAGGGGCCGTGTTTGTCGAGGCCGAGGCCGAGTGCGAGCTCCAGCAACTTGGCGACATCACCAAGCCTGACCCCGTCACTCTCGGCAAGCTCGTTTACGACGTCCCCGGCGCACAAACTATACTCGACATCCCTCCTCTCATCGCCCAAGTAACACTTCAATCTATCATTACTTTTTCATCTACCTAAAAGGTTTAAACTTTAGTGGATGCGCCTCGTGAATTATCATATAGTTTCACGGACGATGACTAATGGTGCTTGGTGAGACTCGAAACACGTAACTCCTCTTATGTGCAATATAAATTTACGCTATATACAAATCTTGCACATGAACGATGATGAATTGAGAAACGTCTAATGAGTTGTAACTATATATAATAACTAATGATGAGTATCCTTTTAAGTTTAAGCTTTAAGATGATCGATTATTTAACAAGTTGCAAACCTGTATAACATGTAATTGATGATACATTCTTTGTCATAGGTGACCAAGTTCAAATGTGGAGGCTTTGTTCTCGGATTGTGCATGAATCACTGTATGTTCGACGGGATTGGAGCAATGGAATTCGTCAATTCTTGGGGCCAAACGGCGAGGGGAATTCCCCCGAAGGTGCCGCCGTTTATGGACCGAAGCATCCTCAAAGCCAGAAATCCGCCAAAGTTGGAATACCCTCACCACGAGTTCGCCGAGATTGACGACATTTCGAATACTTGGCAGCTCTACAAAGACGAAGACATGCTTTTCAAGTCCTTCTGCTTCGACCCCGACAAGCTCGACCGCCTCCGAAAAGCAGCCCTCAAAGACGATCATCGTCTCCAAAAGTGCACAACCTTCGAAGCCCTCTCGGCATTCGTGTGGCGCGCTCGCACGCAAGCATTAAACCTGAAGCCCGATCAGCAGACCAAACTCCTCTTCGCCGTCGACGGACGGTCCCGATTCAATCCCCCGATCCCCGACAAGTACTTCGGCAATGCGATTGTGCTGACCAACTCGCTCTGCGCCGCGGGCGAGTTGACGGAGAATGAGCTGTCGTTCGCCGTGAAACTTGTTCAGGAGGCGGTGGGAATGGTGGACGACGGATATATGAGGTCGGCTATCGATTACTTCGAGGCGACTCGCGCGAGGCCGTCTCTGACGGCGACGCTGCTCATCACGACGTGGTCGAGGCTGTCTTTCCACACGACGGATTTTGGTTGGGGAGAGCCGACGCTGTCGGGGCCGGTGGCCTTGCCGGAGAAGGAGGTGGTGCTGTTTCTTTCTCATGGGAAGGAAAGGAAGAGCATCAACGTGCTTCTGGGATTGCCGGCCCCTGCGATGGACAGATTTGAACAGCTCGTCGACACCATATAGCCATGAATAAAATGAGCCTTTTCTTGCATTAATTATTGTCTATTTATTTCCAATTCTCATATTTGTGATTTGTTCTTTGTTTGTTTGTTTTTCTGTGGGTTTACTGTTTTTGTTGGTCGCTATTACTGCTCGTCTTGATGTTGGTGTTTAATGCCAGTGGCGGTACCTCATTCTGTTCAGCTGAATTAATACAGATAATGCAGTCACTTCGTACGTTCGATATTATGACATCAGTTACCAATGACTACATCGTATGCTTGCTACAATATATTTGAATTTATGGAAAAAATAAGAAATGGTTCAATTGAGACCAAAATCCATTCATTTTAGTTTCGCTACGAATAATTTTCAATATTTTTTGTCTCATTGTTAAAAACCTAACGGTAAATGTTTCCGAGGACATAAAAAATTGTGACATGGCAACTGATTTGAATCAAATATGGTCGTGTTCAACCAGATGCAACGGTGTATAAGCAGTTAGAATCGAAATATTACAAAAAAAAACATGACCGTGTTCATATTACAACACATTATGTGTTCCCACATGGCCGTCTTCTCATAAATACACGGCGGTATGGGTAAAAAATTAACACGTTTAATAGTTGGCCATATTAAAACACGGGAGTGTTATGTTAAGCACGGCCATATTGCACGAAACATGGGTATGTTTCTTGAAACTTGACTGTGGTTTGTTGAATATATGGCCAATTTTCGTTTTGTAACACGATTGTGTTACTATTTGACACGGTCGTGTTTTTATATGTAAACATGGCCGCATTTGTTTATTTAATTTTCAGCCGTGTTTATACACGGTCATGTATTGATCTAACATAATCATATTCTATTATATTTTCTTTTATATAAAAGAACCTTTGGTCTCCAAACCAGTCATTATATGTTCTTAGTTTTTATGCTTATTTCCACCCATTCATAGTACGAAAAAACTTATACTTTTGGTCTCCACGTTGCAAAAAAATTTTAGTTTTATTAACAAGATCCATCTCTTATATCTTTTGGGAGGGATTATCATACTTCATTTTTTTTTTTTCCAATTGAGTGTTATTTGCTTTGGTGATTGATTGGTTGGGGTATTTATTCGGAATTTTTGCACCTAAAGACTGTGTTGAGAATGTGGGGGTAAAGTTTGGTAAGCGAAAGCGGGGAAAAATCACCAGCCAGCTAGCTGTGAGCATAAAAAACACTGCACGCACCCGAAGAAATTTTAGTATATTGATTGAGTTGAGCTCCCTTTCTATGTGGATAATAATGCATAAATTTTGGTGAAAAACCGAAGATTCTCATCTATTTGAAGCCATGAGGGTCATATAGTTCGAGATAGACTAAACATGTTTTTTACTTTTCCTTTTTATTTGTGGTGGGAGGGGGTGGGGATTTCATATTTCATTTTCTCGATTGCAAATTTGTTTTGGTGATTGAGCGGCTGTTGCAGTATTATTGTCTGATTTCTTGAAATTCTCTTGTGTCTTGTTTGGAAGCTGTTCTCTTTTGGTTAGACCATCTAAGTTTTTTCCTTTGTTCTTGAAGGATTTTCGATGGTAAAAATATTATCTCTTGCATTGTCTAATTTCCCATTCAATTCATTATTAGTCCTTTGTTCAGAATTTGGCAAAATATGATTGCGTAATCCTATGGGAGTGGAATTGGAGTTTGGTTTAAATTATTGGTCTATTGACTTGCTTGAATGATCGATGATAATATAAAGAGGGTCATTGGTCTTAATTGAAGTAATTGTTATTTATTGAAAAGATAGATGAGAGATCTATTATTTGGGATAAATATGCATTTTCTAGTCTTTTCTACTTAAAAGTTGAAATTTATGGATGATGAAAGTTTGAGTTTTCTATTTCGACATGTTTGTGGATTTGATAATTTGTAGATAATAATGTCTATAACTACATTCCTATTGACATAAATGATAGAAGATTGTGTGAGAATATTAATCCATCTATGTGATAACGAAAATATAATACATATTTTCTCATTGTAAAGTATATGATGATATTGAATTTGATCATATACACCTAATAATTTTTATAAGTGATAATTTTTTACTACATTTATGCTTAACTGAGCCAAACTACTAAGTAAATATGTTTTTACTCATTTTTTGATTAATTTATTATGTCTTTGTATATTTAAGTATATTCAATCATGTGCTATGAAGAATTGAGCTTGCATGGGAAAGTCTGATAAAATCGAGCTTTGGGGTAGCATTGTCAAAGTTGTGATAATTGTGACCGCGTTTGTACAAAATATAACAATACTGACCTGGATTTTCCTCCGATCGTTTTTTTTTTTGGTTTTTAATAAAAATTTTAATTATATATCATAAAAGAGAGATTATGTAAATTACACCCTTAACCTTACAAACCAAACACAACCGAATAAATTAAAATCAAGAGAGGATAGGAGGCCCATGTTGTAGGCCCAAATCCAGAAGGAAAAGCCCAAAAGTGCTCCTTAGGCAAACAAGATTTCAGCTCCTAGCAGCCCAAAATAAAGTCAATCCAATATGTGCATGAAAACCATAGACAAGGCTGGACTGATCCCGTCACCGTCACCATCACCATCACCATCACCATCACCATCCACGTAGTGAGCAGCAAAAACACCGATCAGCCATAACCAGGGAAACTGCAACACAAGCACAACAACCACCTAACCGATCGAAAATCACATAGACCATGGAATCAATTCAAATCAATCAATAACTCAAACCTATCCTCCATCTACGCTCACCAAAACAGACTGCATCCTCCAGAGAGAACATCAAAGGGCTTAAAATTCTGCTCACTTCTATAATTCACCAAATATATCTATAGCAGACAACTCCTGATTCAACAAAATTCCCGTTACTCACAGCCACTGTCAAGAACCAACACCTCGAAAAACCGAAAGATAGAGCACAACCTGAAGGAGAAGAAAAGTTAAACATCACCCCTTAACAATATCACACCGTAACCAATCAAAACAACTCCAACATAGCCAGGATAATAAAAGATCAGAACCCACAGCCAAAAATAATAAAATAAAAAAAAGACTGGAATAAAACCTGGCGAGATAGTTTAGATAAAGTATGGATAAAGTATACGGGCCCAGAGCTTTGTTTAGATAGAGGTTTTTGGAATTTTAAAAATTTGGAAAAGAAAAAAAAATTAGTATTGATTTGATGTTTTGTGACAGAAAAAGTGTATTTGATGTAATATTTTTTTGAAAAATAAAAAGTACCGAATAATTGAAAGTGTAATGCGTAAAGAAGGCTTTATATGAGTTTTTATTTTATTTAATTTTAATTTTAACTTTTTTTTTTTAGAAAAATGAGGTTTTTGATTTGGAGGAGTTGAAACAGAGCTAGGAGAACAAGGAGTAGAAAGCGTGTAAAGGGAACTACACGATAAGAGAGTTTTATTCCGGACAGTATTAACAGAACATTGCTTCAGAAGAGAGAGATTAAGTTGATCTTTGGGTAGAACATATAATATTTATTTTGATTGGAAATGGGTAGAAGTTATTTTGGATTAGGTATGGGGTGATGTTCAAAGTTGTTCGATCCCAATCGCATTCAATTAAGGTTTGGATTCCCAGGAGGAAGCTGGGAAGATCAAGATGGGAGATCTACTTGAGGGAGTAAATCAACTCTATCTTCAGCGAATTAATAAGTCTGCAATATTTCAAGAATTCAGTGATGGTCTAATTGGCTTTCATCGGCATCTTTGCCAACGTGTTTATCTTTCTTACATTTAGTGCTCTTAATAACTTTAGAATCAGAAATAAAATGTCCCGAGTCAATGGAAGTGGCTGAATCCGAAAGATAAGCTAAATACTCATCCAGACTCTTCTGAACGGAGTACCATGAGCCATAATAGGCATAATAACCATAATAACCTCATCCAATCTATTGAATGCAATACAGCAGTTCCGAGTTGAAGGAAGAGGCTTTGAGACCGAGGGAGCCATCAGAAAGGGAAGACAACTTTCATCAAGAATTGAATTGGAAAAAGATTTGAATATCCCAAATAATATGAGTCCGAGTGATTTTCCTGAGAAGAAGACTCAGATTCTGAGTTCTCCGATTCCACATTTGAGCATTCCAAAATAACAGGATGTTTCTGTCTGCGAAACCTCACAGTAGGGTGATGATGAGAAGAGAGGGAGGAGATGATGACGTCCAAGGCTTTGAATAATGAAGGTGGTTGGTATTTTTCTTTGCATTAATAAAATGGCGAAGATCTTCTGGCTCTTTACTTCTCCCCGAATCTTTCTCATGCTCTGGAATCACCTGTACATTTCCCATTGTCTTTCAATGAAATTGGACCTGAGGTAACAAAATCACAAGTTTTAGCCTTACCATTTGAATACATGCATTGGGAAGCCTTTAAGATACCAAACTCTTTTAGACCTCAAGCGACAATAATCATCATAGTTGGAGATAAGGATGAATATATGCTAAGAATTCATCCTTCGGATTGTGTGTTGGCCAACAAGCTTGAGACTTCAAAAAACAAGATAAGCTCTTCCCATCATGAATAACCGTGAGAATATTTCTGTACGAGAGTCCGAGACAAGTTTTGATATTTCTTCTCTTAAAAATTTCTACCTGATGCGATCATTCACCATTGTAGACGATCCATAACAGTCTGAAAATTCAAAACCAGCACATGTTTGAGTATAGTGAAATCGTAGAAGGTAATTTCCACTATTCCGCGATTGAGGAAGAGAGAAAATCCATATTTGCATATGCTAGAATGAGCGGCTGAGAATCATTTTTCCAGCTGGCAAATTGTAACCATCAACCTTCTAGAAGCTCTGCCAGCATCAATAAATAGGGGTCGATTTGTATTATTGTAGCAATTCCACTTTTTGCAAAATGTGATTGCTTTAGAGGAGCTTAACCTGTAAGAGCTTTAAGACGTCTAGCGTGGGTGGTTGATAGCACTCATGACAGGAGTCACGTGCTCGCCACCCATCTCATTTATTTTCTACACTTATATAATTTTACCGCTTTCATAGTGTAATTGTGAACTTCAATTCTCGGTGATAAATGAAATATCATTATTCTCCATCCCGGCAACACACATGGATGGCATATGAATAAGATAATTGTTTTGCAAAAGTACCTTGCGTAAACTTTGGCTACAATGCAAATATTAATCACCTAACCTAATCTAGTTAAAATGTTCCAAAAGGACTTAGAATAAAAAGCAAAGGTAGGTAGTAAACTAATG